AAATATATCTACTAATCAAAATACTAGTCCGCAATGTTATAAATATTAAATAGGTATCTCCAAATTTAGCTTTTCTCACATCATGAATTTAAAAAAAAATTTATATTCATTCCGATGACATAAACAAATTACCAACATATATTAGGATCAACTAGAATAATAGCATTATTGGATCTATCATCTATTTCAATTATAAATTATACGATCAAAATAATAGCAAATCTAAAATATTAATTCAAAAGAAATAAACTCTGTAAACTAATTATTGTTAATTTGAATAGCATTTTATATTTATTTATTATTAAACGAATCTTTTCTATTTTCACATCTATTTCATAAGCTTTAATCAATGACCCAACAATATATATACAACTATCAAACAAAATAAAAAATGGAAAGTAAATATTTCAGGTACATTCTAGATTCATATATTCCTTCTTTAAAAACTGATGTGACAAATAATAAGAATATATATATATATATACATTCAATTAAACGAATAAATTAAGAATTTCTTGAATCAATCAAAATCAATATTAGATTTTCTTAAATAATATAATATATTTTTATTAATAGTTATATTTTTATTAATAATAAAGTTATAGAAAAATTACCTTCTTTCCGATTTTCTCATCGATTTCGATAGTAATTCGCAATGGATGATAATTATCAATTTATATTATAATCTTTGATTCATAATCCAATTGATTAGCCGATAACTATAATATATCAATCAAAAATCATATCAAAAAATGATAAAAAAATTGTAAAAATAATAAAAAATAGAATCATCAGAATAATGCAAAAAATTTCATACAAAAATCAAAAACAAATATAGATATAAATAATATTAGAAATCATTATAATCAATAATATAATTAATATTAAAATATTATAATGAGTAATATAATACTTGAAACATTAATGCACGTCACAAAAAGAAAATTATACTATTCTTATTAATTGATATGAATTTTACATTATATGCCAGGAATTATTGTGGTTTTTCGTTCGAAATAGTTCCCACATAAGATTCTTATTTATATAAATTATCAATTATAATTTGTTATGTAATTCTGATGTTGTGATATCATATAAATAAATAAAGAAGTAAAATGTTTAAATACGAAAACTGAATGAAAAACTGAATGATATCAAGTATATAATAATCATATTATTAAGCACCAACGAAGAACACAGTTTTTGTTTTAAATTGGTTCTATTCATGTTTAGAAAAATATAATTTTTAATAGAAGAAGCTATTTGCAACTTTATGGAAAGTTACATTTTAAATAAGAAATCTATAAAAATTATATTTAATTTTTAAATTATTTTAAATTCATTGAAATGAACATCATCTATTTTATCATGATTTAAATTATTAATTTATCTTATAATTTGAAACATAAATATAAACAAAATTAAAAGTTAGTATTTCATTATTATTCATTATTATTTATTATTATTTATTATTATTTATTATTTTTTCTTATTCAAGAAATTTTTTATTCAAATTTATCATTTTGAAAATTTTCTAAATCGCTAAAAAGTCGAAAATCATTTTACAAAAATAAACAGTTTTTGAAATAAAATACAAAAAATAATTCAAGAACTTTCATAAATATATTATATATCAATTATACATAAATATATTATGTCATTAATTCTTCGCGAGAACAAATGACGATTAGTGATATAAATTTTTGAAAATCGTTAATGTTTGGATAATTCCGATATATAATTGGTTTCTAATTATACGTTGAAATTCGATTATATTTATAAATTTCAACGTTATAAATTTAATCATAATTTAATCATTATTAATTCAATTGTTTAAAATTATTTTATTTTTTATTTAACTCTTTAAATTATAGAACTATTAAATTATATTTAACCTTTTCAGAATATATAAACGTTTACTGACAGATATATGTACGTTTTTTTTTTTTAATTAAAATTATTTTAAATGAGAAAAAGAATTAAAATGTATTGAAAAATTTTTCATTAGAAAATTTTTTAATAATAAAAATAAAAAATTAAAAATACTGATAATATTTTATTTTATTTGACATTCACTATTTTGAAAATATTATAATGGTGCCTTTGATGTCTGCTGAAGAGCTTAAAGCCTTCCGACACTCTATTGATAGCGTTTTAAAAATCATTCATTTCCGTGAAAAATGATCATAATTCATTTTGATATTATTGACCTAAAAAATTCTGAAATAATAAATTTGAATAATAAATTTTGTTTGAATGATATAATATAATATATAACGATATAGTATAATATAGTTTTAAATAAAAATGAAAGGAAAACTATGTTTTTATCGAAAAAAAGTTTTTTATCTATCTTATATATAGTGCAACAATTGCCAATTTTAAAATGTTATTATAAAAAAATTTATTCGTCATTTTTATTTTAATAATCACATAAATCTGAAATAAACAATAAAAAAAAATAAATAACAAGTTTAAGTCATTAAAATCATATTATATAATATAAAAAAAGTAATACTATGCTAGAGGATTATAAAATATTTGGAATATTTTATATCAAATAAAAATTATATTAAAGATAAAATATATATATATACATACATATACATATTTACATATAATTAAAAAATATAATTAAAAATGTAATTAATATAATTAAAAAATTTTAAAAAAATAATAAATGAATTTTATAAATACAGAAAGATTTCAAATTAACAAATATTTATTCAAAAATTTATATGATTATTTTATGATTATACATTTTACACAATTGAACTACAAAGTAAATATAAAAATTTTAATCAACTTCTAATATATTCTAATAATTATTTTATAATAATTATTTCCTCTTAATTAATTTAATTAAATTAATTTTGTTCAACAATATAATGATTGAAGAAAATTGTATAGTTTCTAATTTATTGAATATAATATACATAGAAGGGATAATACAAAATAATTTTTTTTATGTGTATTTGTTCGTAATTAATAGATTGTCACACAGGTTAATTTCGAAGAAATTCGCATCCAACTGCAAATATTAATGAATGGAAATCGTAAAATGTAAATATACATCTGCAGCACAATTACGAAAATCAGACCAAAATATTTCGTCATGCGAATGCCTGATAGGGAGTTGGAAACACTGAGGATGATATATTTGCTTAGAACGTATCGACTGGCTGAATTATGGTTCGATTGTGGGATCTATATTCGTCATTGGTTTCGAAAGTGATTTATCGGTAAAAATTCAATAGTTGAATGTTCAATAGTTGATTGCATCTTGATTAAATTATTTATATGCAGAAATTTCTTGTTGAACATTTATATTTCTTGTTACTACTTTAACTTTTAGATTTTTTAATTCACAAATTGTAATATTTCAAAAGAGATAAGATATTGGCTTAAAAAATTAAATTTTGCAATTTGCCAATTCTTTTTTAATATTTAATTTTTCTATCCTTTTGAAAGAAAGAAATTAGATATTTTAGAATATTATAATTAATGTAATTATATTTTATGAGAAATAAAATGAATTCGTTACATAGTTGTATATATATGCGAAAATAAATACAATCATCATAAGCAAATTTGTATGCATCTTGAATATACAGATATTTTTTATTATATTCATTTTAATATGATTAAAACAATTTAAAAGTTTTTATAAAAATTAATCAATAGAATTAGATGCAAAAAGTTTCAGTGAAAAAAATTAATTTTAAGAAAAATATTTGAAGTTAAATATTTCTTAGAATATATATTATTAAAATAAAATATATTATTTCAAATTTGTTTATTATATTAAAAAATTATTGTAAAATAAAAATATATAGAAATAACATATTTTTTTGTACATATGTTTGTTGATAACTAAATTATATAATTTAATAAAATAAATTTTAATCATAAGTTAATTATAAGTTTTTATTGTGCGAAATGATAATATATAGTGAATTGTTTTTTTAATATTATTTTTAAATATATATTTCAAATTGTCTCATTTCCATGATGTTTTCAGTACATTTATCCAAAATCGAATAAATTTTTTTAAATTTAAATTCTGCAAGATATTTTGTACTGCCTCTTTTGAATTGTTTTTAAAAATCAATCTATTTTTTAAAAAATGATAAACTTCTAATGTCTTATAGTTTTTCTGGTTTCAAGTTTTGCTTATTGGTGATAAAAATTTCTATAATAAAAATTTCTATAATAAAATTTTTATAATAAAAAGTTTTATTTGTTAAAAATATTTATTCAAAAAAATAATGAAAAATAGTTCATAGATTACATTATGACATTATATTACATTATATAGAATACATTAAAGTAATTAAAATATTAAAATATTAAAATATATCTTGTATTTAATTCAGGATTTTGATTTTGTTTAGTAACAATGACGAAATATTTTCATATGATTTTTTCGTAGAATCGTAGGATCAATATATTTTTATAATTAATATTTTTAAAAATCTTGAAATTTCTTTTAAATATCTTGATATGTATCTTGAAGAGATTTACTCTTCTTTTATTAAAAATTAATGTATAATTTTTTTTTACATATGGATTGAATATTTATATAATTTATTATATAAATATATTTTATAGAATTTTGTAGAATAATATGTTAAAACAAAAAAAAAAGAGTTTATAAGATAATTGATTCACGCTGTTAATTCTAATAAATCAATTATTGATGAATTAGTAGCTTTTTAAAATTTATTTTTTATTATCTTTCTCTTATGTAAATAAATTAAAAAGATTATTAAACATATTAAGTATTCTTTTTTTTAAAGAAAAAAGAAACCAAACATTTTTTTCTAATTTATTTTATAATTTTTTTATTTGGTAATATATAATAATTTTATAAGCAAATTAATTGTAAAAAAAATATAAATAGAAATTGTTTTGTTGAAAGAAATAATCTTCTATGTTCTCACTACTAATATTAGTTTAAGAGAATTAAATTCTAAATATTCCATTAAATTTTTTTGCAGACTTAATCGACAGGGGGACGAAGAAATTTGGCGATGATTGCGTGGAAGATCGTGAATGCAGTTTCTCTGGCTCTTATTGCGAGCCAAAAAAGAACAAATGTTCGTGTAGAGAGGAATTCGAGGCGACGAATCATATCGACAAATGTGGACACCGTAAGTTAATATTGTTAAGCGCGCCGACATTACTTTGTAAGTGTCAATCTTTATTCGACTTCAATAATATCAATTCTTATTTAATATTTTAAATAATATATAATTGTTTGAATAAATCAATTTAATTTAATCAAATTGAAATAAAAAGCTAAAAATAGAGTTTAATAACTTATTTTGTCAACATAGAAAAATATATATTAAAATAAAAAGATACTTTATAGATAATTCATTACGAATCAACAATTATACAAGATATTCAAGATATACAAGATATTCGAGGATTATATTAGATCAATTCATTTTTTCAAAAATGATTAATTTTTGAAAAAAATGACAAAAGAAGTTTTAATATTTCCTATGACGAACATGATAATATATATGCAAATTTTTTATATTTGTAATATTATTTAAAAAACGTGATCTAATTTTTTTTAATGAAATATTATAAATTTGTTTATATTACATAAAAATATATAGCAAACATATGAATTTAAACATATATCATATTATGATCTTTGAGATCAGACAATCTCAGAAAAGAATAAAATAAATTGAATATCTCGTAATATTATTCTCGTAATATTTATTAATATAATCATATGTTGTGTTTGAAATAATCATTAGCAAGACTGCATTTATATTTTCCAGATTACATTTTTTCTTCAACATTCTGCGAATGTTATTCTATACTAATATGCTTTTCTTATCTTTGATTAATCGATAAAATTAAAAGATTAAAGAAAAATTATAAATCAAAAGATAAAAAAAATCCAATAAAGATTGGAGGTATAAATTTAACGATTATGAAAGCTATTTTACAAATTTAGAGATTTCAATTCATTTATTATTAAACATTCTAATCAAAACAGATCTACAATTATTATTAAAATATATAACATAAATATTTTCTATGTCTGATATCAAAAGTTTAAAAAAAATTTTGATCATAATAGATTAATTATTTTTTATATTTTTTTCCTATTTTGAATTCCTTAATTTTAATCCTATAATTTTATTCTATTGTTAAGGAGCAATATAACATAAAATGATTCAATGAAATCAAAAAATACAATTTTTTAAAATAATTAATGATTTAATGACACTAATTGAGAATTAAAAACGAAAAAACAAAGGGTATTAAAAATAATATGAAATAAAATATTATAAATTAATGATATAAAATTATGTTAATTATTATTATCATTATAAAATAAAATATTGATGAAAATATTTTATAAAATGTAGAAATAAAATAAGTTGCTCAAGTCACGTATAGGAAATGGAATTTTTCTCTTTAATTTTTTTACCAAGTTTTACGATTGGAATGATATGAATGCCTATGGATAGTTGTTTATGACTTTCTTCCGTGGAATCTAAACGAAAGAACGCGATTTTATTGGTCTCTGGCATTAGAAGCATCGCGAAAAATTAAAAGCAAAAATGAAAGCATGAATTTATTGATCCAAATTATATTGTATACACGTTTTTAATTAAATTTGTAAATGTTATCATATCGGTTGAATTATTTTTTATACACATTTATTGAAAATTTTTCTTAAAATCGTGATGAACATTATAATAATATTATTACAAATATTAACGAAGAAATTCCAATTAATAATAATAATAATGAATATTAATTTTAAATAATTGATATATATATATAATATAATCATGTAAATATTAATGAAAGAATATTAAAATCAAGGATTATTATCAAGGATTATCGAAATTAAAGCTTTTGGAGTTAAAAATGTAAACTATGATATTTTAAACAGCATATGTAGGTATTTTTTAAATTTTAATATTAATAAAATAATTGAAAATATGTTCTTTAGAAAAACAAAATCTTTTATCTTTTTATCTATTAAATCAAAAAATTTTTCAAAAAGGATTTGAAGTTAAAATGATGATACCAACATAACAAGTAACAACATTAAAAAATTTCTATTATTAAAAATACCATTGGATAAAATCGGTTTCACATTTTATTTTTTAGTATATCCATGACGAAAATAAGTTTTTATCAATTTCAAATATAAATGTAACAAAGATAAAAATACATCAATAATTCGAAAAAAGAAATAAATGAAAATATATATTGATACGTTAGGATTAAAATTCAATCAATATTAAGCTTCCTAATTGCGAGCCTGTGGTCGATATATCGAGGACAATGCGGCATATAATCAGTAGATCAGATTCACCACATTAACCTCTGGATATACACTATCATCCGCAAGCACGCTAACAGAGAAATAATTTCTTCTTATATTGATGAATGATAACTATATATTGATTTCTAACACTATACAGATCAATCGCGAACTTGAATATTCAAATTAGATAATAATTTTATAAAATAGAACTGACCTTATAACGATAAACGAATTAGAAATAACAGTAACGTATCAGGTCATCACATGATGATTGATTGACAAATCGATAATATTTCAAATAATCGCCTTTAGTTGCCAAGAGATTAGATACATGTGAATGTCATTCGAGGTCGAGATGCATGTTACATATTATATATTATTCCAATAAGGAAAATTTATATGTAGATACATGATATGATATTATGAAAGAATTGGAAACAAAAAAGAAAATATTATAGAATTATACAGAAATATATTTTACTCTTAGCTATTTATAAGTTTGTACTGTTCGATATGTATCTATTATAAATATTAATGGAAATTAGAATAGAAGCTTCAATCTTAAGGAGTTAATTAAAGTCCGATTAATTATAACAACTTTTATTGAACTTAAAAAAGATCGAAATATAATAAATTTGTAGTAATACAAATAATTTTCAAACATAAATGATATGAATTCAAAAATAAAAATAAATAAAAAATAGTAGATGTACAATATATTATACAAAATTTCATTTCTGAATCATTCGATAAAGAACTTTGAATATAATAATTCATAAATAAATAAAAGTACAATAAAAATATATATTAAGTTATATTAACAAATTGATTTTTTACTATAATTTGCTTTTTTTAAAATTAAAATTATAAAAAAATATTATTATATTATTTTAATACTAAATTTCTTATTTTTCGAAATTAAGATGAGATAAGATTAATATTATAATAAAAAAGAACAATATAATTGAAAATAATTAAAAAAGAAATTGAAATTTTTTAGATCATTCATGGATAATTTATATCGTTTAGAAATAATAAAAAAATAATATAAAACGCATTAACTTTTAAAATTTATCAAATCAATGTAAAAGATTTGTATCTAATACTCATTTTTAATTAAAGCTTATCAAAAAATTAATTAAAGCTTCTCGTCAAATCATAGAAAGGATTATCTTTCTAATTGAATACGAATAGAACTGACATATCGAAAAAATCTTGACAATTTTAATATCGAAGGATGCCAAAAGTAATAAAAAATTAACTATTAAAAATCAACTATTTCTCTTTATTGTTTGTTTATTATTCGTCATTTCCTCAGAATTTAGCAATAGTTAATAAAATACATACGCAAATCCAATAACTTCTTAAAAATAGAAATAAAAATCGGTAGTGAACTTTTAAAAAAGAAACTATAACTTTTTATAAAAATAACATTTCATGAAATATTTGCCGACAAGAATGGTACGAGAAAGCGAAGCTGTCGTTAATGGTTTGTATTTTTCAGCGGTGAACGTGAACGAATCATGCTTTTTCCATGAGCAATGCGAAGCTAGAGTGAGCCAAACCGAATGCAGGGACAATCGTTGCATTTGCATCTTCGAGAAGATTCCGGTTACCCAACCTGACGGCATGATTGTGTGTGTCGGTAAGAAATGAAAGAAAAAATGAAACAATTGGGGAAAGGAAGGCTCCGTAAGTTTTCGCGTGCTTTTTAATGAAATTTCATTCGCGTCCGCCCACGCAACGAGAAGCAACTCGTTTCCGTGTTAATGGAATTCCGGCCTAAAATTCTACGACGAAGTTCATTAATTCGTCAACTGTTTTAACGCGATCAATTAACAAACGCGAAACAGAATAACGAAATGGCGAATTCTCCGTTTCCGGTGCGGTAGAAATTAAAAGCACGTCACTTTGATATTTTGCACACTTTTATTTTCAACTTAGCGTTGTAAATTGAATTAAATGGGTGACACGTGTGTGCAATTTCATCATGTTGAAAAAGCTCTTTCGCTTTTGGGTGAGATTAATTTGGGTTAAAGGATAATATGAATTTATTTTGTTTTAATAAATATATACGTAGGTTATTTTGTTTCAATAAATATATGTATCTGATAAAAAAAAAATATCAAAATTAGTTAACTTTATCATCTATTACAAAGAACTGAAAATGAAAGATATATTTTATATTATTAAAAAAAAGAATATTATTAAAATAAAAAAAAATAATATTAAAAATAAGAACAGACATTGTGACAATAAAATAAGAAATAAATTATGTTTTTAAATATAAGAGATAATATGAAGATTAACAATATAATAGAATTGTTATTAATGTTAATAGTCATAAATTACAAAATGTATTCATTGAATAAAAAATAGAATTATATTGTATTATATTGTATAAAAATATTTATTATTTATTAGAATATTTCAATTAATTATAAATCTAATCTAATCACCTATTTCATATAAAAAATCATATTAATTATTATTGTTAACGAAAATTTTTATCATTGATTATTAGAATGAAAGATATAGGGATTAAAGCATAAAAGTCAAGTTTAGTTTATCTCAATCAAGAACATATTTTTAAAAAATAACTGTTATTAATCACAAAAAAATTAAAATGCTTGAATATTATTATAATTATATATTTTCTCTTCAAAATTATCTTTTGAAATAAATTAATTTTTTTGATAAAATCTTTGATAAATCATCTTTGATAAAAATAGAAAATATTAAACAAAAATTAATTACGAATGAAATAATATAAAAAAAAAAAGACTTATGAAAGAATTATTAAGAAAATGAAATATATGTTTCAGCTGAGCAAAAAGAGGAACCCAATCTTCAATATATCGATCCGACGATGATTGGTGTTCTCGTTGGTATGGCCCTCATGTTCATCATCATCTGCGTCGTCCTTAGGCTTTTCAGCAAGTAAGCCATCTATTTGCATATTTTGCACGGTAATTCTCTTCTTTCTCATAACGAGAGTTTATAACCTACTTCTACTTGGCAGGAAATGTGAAAATGGACCGTTGATGTCGTATGCCTAATGCAAATTTAATGCTTTTTTATTCTCTGCACAAACTCTTGACAAATTCATACAAATTCAAAAGAATACAAAATCTGGATCTTGAAGTAACTACATTATCAAATTATTCAAATATGAGAGATCTTTTATTTCATAAAGAAACTCTTTTTAGAAATGTATTGTATTAAAAAAACTATGAATAGACATGAGCATGAAAATTCTTATACTATCATAAATATTTAAATTTGAATAAATTTTAATAAAATTTATTTTAAGAGTCATTATTATTACATAAATCATTCAATACTTCTATATTAGATATTTATTTTATTTCTAAACTTTATTGTTTATTCTGTCAAGATTACAAATTAAATTACAATTAATAAATACATAAATCAGATTAATAAATTTTCAAGAATAAATTTTAATACAATTTTATGATTCTTATTCAATTTGTTTCAGAGCTCGTTGGCGTGAAAATCGTACAATTTTTAACACCCCGAACGCCCGTCTAATGAACGTATCGTTACTAAGAGAGAACAAGCTCCTGCATCCGCAGGAAAGACGCGGTTCAAGGGCAAGCGTACGAGTTCCCTCGAGGCAACCCTCGATGGCCTCCTTACGTGCCCATTCGCCGAATGCCTCGCAAGGTGCGAAACACTCTCAGCACTCACAGCACAGAGTGAGCCGTACGGGTTTTTATTCATTCACTTACTAAGCAAGCAACTTGTTATACAGTGTCCCGTTGAAACAAAGCAAGCGACTCTTTTACGCGCCAGTTTATATCGGGTGTTCGATGGAAATCGAGACATCTCTCGTCAGGAACGGATCCTGTTTAAAAAATGAAAAAAAATAAGATAAGGGAAAAGTACAATGGAATTTTCTTTACTTTTTTGTCGTTCATCTATTTCTTTTCTTTTTCTGTTTCTATTTTTTTTTTTTTTTTTTTATTTCATTCAACTAGTTTTAGATTTATAGATTATTGCAGGTTAAAAGACCGGATAAACGTTCTTCTATTTCCCATCATCGAGTAATTGTGTTCTATACAAGATAGTATCTGCCACTATAGTTGGCTACTCATATCCTCGCAGACATGTATGTTGCATGAAATATTCAAGGTAAATATCGGGAAATATACGTGTAGAACCAGTTGTTTAGCAATCATTTCGTACGTAATTCATGAATAGACTATATATTTTAAAAAATGCAACGATTATGTCAGATGTGTGTAGAGTACAGATGTTATCATTGTTTTCCTCTTTTAGTATTCATCATTATGACCGAAAAGTTTCATAATTTTTTTTCTTTTTTAAATTTTTTTTTTAATCCAATATTATAATTCGCACAATCTATATTTTATATTTTTTGTTTTTAATCATATAGCCAAGAATAAAAAAAAATAATAATCATTTTGATCATAATTCTTTTTCAAAAATATTGTTCCAATAATTAATTAACTAATTTTGTAAATTATAGCTACAAAATAACGAGAAGGTTGGAATGTTCCTCGAGCTAATCAGCTAGTATTAAAAATAGTTATTTTCTATATCGATTTCCGTAGAACATCCTATATATTTATATAGATATAAATATCGCAAAGTAGGTAATTACCTACTTTTGCCTATTCTACTCTGTACTTTAGAATTCTTCTATTAAGTTCAGAATCTTTCAGATATTCTCATCTCGCATGCAATTGCTTGCCAAAAGGATAGATATTTGCTGGTTACTTTTAATTTGAGAGTGCATCGAGATCGATGTATTATACTTTAAATGCATCGTTTTCAACATCTATGTTGAAAACCACTTCTATTTCCCATCAAAAAAATTTTTTCTCGATATTATACATCGATAATGTCATAAAAATCATATTTTTTTATTCATTTCATAATTAAAATATTTCATTCTATTTTAATTTTATGAAGTAAATATGGGACAATAATTAAATGAATTGCAAAACTCGTAATAATAAAACTCAAATGTGAAAATAAACAAGCTAAAAGAATATAATTTATAACCTATCAATAATTCTTTAGCTGTTTATTAACAATTATTCAAAGTAATTCCTATTAATTTTGATTCTAAAAATTTTATTATATTCAATGATTTTTAATTTAAAATATGGCCAAAAGCTTAAATAGTTTAAGAAGTCATCAAAGACTAAATAACAGCAAAATTAACCTTAAAAAAGTGTCACAATAAAACGATGCATCTCAACTTTCCATAATTATGTTTCCTTTTTTTAATAGACTTGACTCTCTTTACAGTCGATCATCTATAGCAGTAGTCTGTTTAATGATCCCGTCTGTGACCGTTGTTCTTGATTATCTTATATACTACGGATTATATACTATGGACCTATGAGGTGCTCTATTGTAAAAAACTTTTCAAATTGACGCGTCCTTCGAAGAGGGTAAGTTTCGTATTCTTACCAGTTTTTATTATATTTTTCTATATAATTTACGGTGTTATCGTAGTATATGTATATTATATATGTGTATTTTGTACATAACCCTTATTAAGGTTACTTACCCTCTTTCGGATACGTCAGAACTTCGAGCTTAGAAGTGTGTGTTTCTACAGATACAGATAGATCAGAGTCTTCTTTATCTAGAGTTTTCGAGGATCACAACTATAGTTGCTTGCTACAGTAAAAAATCGTTGCTTGTATATAATGATGTTCTATCGTAGAAATCGTGATTTGAAACCAATTATATACAGTTTAATTAATTATTCGATTACTGATTTACAAAAATAACAATTTGATAAAATAATAGATCAAATTGGGAGGAAATAAGAAAATTTATCATTCAATATTTGATTTCGTTCAATCGATTTATATCAAAAAATATAACATAATTAGTAATAATTATTTTTACTATTTTTAGTATTTTTAATTAACATACGAATTCGTTATGAAAAATAAATTTGTTATTTCCTCCGTATGGTATAATCGAATTAGAAAATAATAAAATACACGAGTTACAGTAACAAGAATCGATGATAGAATCGATTCTTTATACTTTATATATATATATATTATATATATATATATATA